ACAGCCTGGTAGAGCTGGGAAGACAGGAGTGTGGTCCCCTCTGCCCCATCCCTTCTCCCCGGCCCGGCTCTTTCTCTCTCGCCTTCTGCACATGGCATCAGATGGTTCCCCAGCTGGCTACCTGTAATGTCCCTTGATGTTTCTTACTGTGGATTTCCCAGTAGGGAAATCCCAGGAGGGTCACAAGGCAGGCCACACACATCAGAGGTCCTGGCTGAGTGTGCACGAGCCAGCCGTGGCCCAGCAGGCCGCCTGGTCCACTGAGGCCAGTGCACGTGGTGAGGTGGTCTGATGGCCCACAAGGAGGCGGGGCCTGGATATTAAGCATCTATGAACTTCAGCCATAAGGGCTGATGTTTCCCGGCTGAGTTGGCTCCAGCGTGGTTATTTCCTGCCTTCTGTATCCTCAAGCCTGCCTCCCACCACCCCAGACTTGAAGCTGAGCCCTTGCCTGTTCCATTAAGAAAGCACGAGCCTCTCATTCCTACTCACAGTACAGACCTGCCTCCTCCGTCCCTGTCTCCTCTGCCTCCTGGTGCATTTGTGTGCCTTCGCTTCTCTCAGAGGCAAGGCGGGCCTCATGCGCCCTCTTTTCAGCACCAGGGCTTGCCCCCCGTTCTGCTGGACTCCCCAGACCTCCTCCGGTTTCCCTCCCGGCTGCACACGCTCTTCCAGCAGGACCTCAGGCCAGTTGTCTGTGCAAGTGCTGGTCAGAGTGCTGGTATGTGAGCCATTTATCACCAGTCGTCACCGGATTCGAGACGTTGTGCCAGCGTGTAAGTCAGCTGTGACACGCCTAATTTAGTTCAGCTTTTTTTTTTTTTCATGGCAAAACTTTATCAATGAAGGAAGCAGCATGTTCATCTGCATTCTGGCACAAGCTTCTCCCTTCTCAGCCAAGTTTGTGGGTGACACTTTTAATACCCCCTCCTCTGCACCCTCCCCTGAGCATCACCCAAGTCGCTCATGTCACATCTTCATGTTGCCAAAGGCCCGTAGATGCTCCTTGATCTTCACCTTGTCTCAGTAGTGTTCTGAAGCAGTACCTTTCTTGTTTCTCTTGGTCCCCAGGACTTTATATTCTGTTTCTCCCCTTCATTGGCCTCTTCGCCCCACGCCTCTTTGCTTGCTCCACCCCTACCTGTCCTCCATCAGGTGGGAGGACCCTGGCAGGCCAGGGCCTTTTCTCTGTCCACCTTGCCTTTAGTGAGCTCACCTTGTCTAATAGCAGATGACTTCCAAATATAGATCTGCGGCCCAGCCCGAGCTCCTGACTCATTGCTCCAGCCGCCTCCTTGCTATTTCCATGGCGATGTCCAATAGGCACCCTCACCCGTGGATAGAGATGAACAGAGCACTTCCCGGTCTTTCTCAAACCCACCCCTTCCCCCGCCCCTTCTCCCTCCACTCATGAGGCAGGACCACTCCGACCAGTTGCTTGAGCTCCAAACTTTAGGTCCACCGGTGATGCCCTCCCTTTCCCTCATAGGCCACATCTAATCTGTAAGTAGGGCCTGTCACTTGTGCCCCCAGAGTGCGGCCTGACTCTGTCCTCCCTGTTACCACTGCCTCTCCCAGTGTGAGCGCCCCCACCCCGCTGGCCTGCTCCGGAGCCTCCCTTGTTCTGCCCTGCCCGCTCTCCACGCACCAGCCAGAGGGAGCTGTTTTGTTTTTGTTTTTGTTTTTGTTTTAATAGTTTATTGTCAAGTTGGTTTCCATATAACACCCAGTGCTCATCCCAACGAGTGCCCTCCTTCATGCCCATCACCCCCCTTCCCCTCCTCCCCACCCCCATCAGCCCTCAGTTTGTTCTCAGCGTTCAAGAGTCTCTCCTGGTTTGCCTCCCTCCCTCTCCCCCACTATTTTTCCCCTTCTTCTCTCCCCTGGTCCTTCGTTAAGTTCAGAGGGAGCCTTTTAAAGCCCGTGCCTCCCAGTGTGAAGCCCTCAGGGCCTCAGGCCACTCACACATGGTGACTCGCTGCCGTGGCCTCTGCCGCCCTCTCCAGGTCCGCCTGCCACTCTCCTCCCGCCTGGTTCCTTCCCCGCCTGCTGTGCTTGCCCGCTTCTGTCCTGGCTGATCCCCTTCCCTTTCCTCTGGGGTCATCTCAGAGACGGTTTCCGTGACTCTTGGGCCCCAGCGAGAGTATGGGGCTGTGGCTAGAGGTCCGCAGCCTGGGTGAGTGAGAGCAGGGAGGCCGCCCGCTGTGGCCTCCTGAGGAGCCCAGGATTTGGGCCAGCCTGCTTGTCCTTTAAATCCTGACGTCTGCAGACCTGCGCTGTCCCCAGCAACTCTGGACTTTTTCCTAAGCTCCCAGGAGCTTCTGGATGGCGGAGCTGGTCTGCACGGACGCTGGTGCCTTTGAAATGCTAATATGGGAGGGTGGCCAACCGCAGCTAAGGAGGATCAGGGCCCATGCCCTTGGGCAGAGCAGCAGCCACAGCAGCCTGGGACCTTGTTAACCTGGGGCTTCTGGGGCTGCCTGCCTGCGACCGACCGGCCAGTGATGGGCCCTGTGAGCGGCACCAGCAGGTCCTCCATGTTGCATAGGCCCCACAGGCCATTAGCTCCCCCCGGGGAGTAGCTGTAAATCTGAGTGCTGCTAATGGCTTGACTCTTTCTAAACCATCTGGGAGGGGGGGTCGTCAGGGAGAGGATGGACCCCGGTTCCTAGCTGATGAGCGGTGCTGTCCACGGCTCTGCCAGAAACCACTGATGCTGCTGCTTACGAACTGGGTGACCAGTGGTGGGAGACCTCCCCTCTTGCTCCTTGGTGTCCTCATCTCTGAAGTGGGGCCACTAAGCCTGTTCCATCCTGTGCGTTCCAACATCACAGGCTGCTGGGGCTCGGCCCAGCAGCACCACTAACGCAGCGAGCGCCCTCTCTGTGCCATGCGCCGCGTTCCAGATTCTTGTTCTCGCCACAGTCCTGCGAAGGGCACACCGCCATCAGTAGCACCTCCTGGGTGGTAGCTGGAGCTCCGAGAAGCGCAGGGAAGCCACCCAGGGTCCAGGCAGGTGAGTCGTGGGGAGAGGAAGCCAGCTCCACCTGGCTCAGCGGACTGTCCTGCCTCCCTGTGGCGGGGTAGGGCTCCGTGTCCGGTGCGTTTTCGTCCCTGCGGTCAGCCTTTGCGAGGGAAGTTGTTCTCATTGTTCAGATGACAGCAGGGAGGCCCAGTGAGGCTGAGTGCCGTGCCCACAGCCATGCAGCCAGTGAGTGGTACGTGCTGGGTTGGAGGCCAGCTGTGTCTGAGCGTCCTGTGAAAGATTTGAGAAGGAAAACTGGTAACGCCAGGGATTCCTACACCTGTCAGGTGTTGAGTATGTTTAAAATCCTAGTGGAAATTGTACATTGGCCAAAACAGGGCTGCCCTGAACTTCAGTATTTGCTTTTGGCTGGCCTTATGCCATCCCAGTGTATTAAAATTCGTCACCTTGTGCCATAAGAAACTCTGCCTGATGTGGGTCCTAGAGAAAAGAGTTCCGGGGTCCATATGAGATGAGAGGAGTGGTGGGAGATATCAGGGTCTCTCTACCAGCAGTTGGGTCTCAGGTAGGATGTCTTCTGTCTCAGAATCCACGTTCCGTATTCTGCCACTTAGCGTGGTGACTTAGGTATAAATGCTGTCTTCCTTGTCAGCATGGCGACAGGCCGCCCACCGCCCTTGGACAAAACCGCACACACAAGATCGTGTTACAAGGACTATTGGCGTGTGCTGCCCTTCTGCCTCTGAGAGCGCCGAACCCCATGCTAGTCCCAGGGTACTGCGATGGCCAGATGTCTTGTTTGGTCCAATATGCAACCTCCACTTGCTTTCCGTGTTTAAAAAACACCCCACCTACTGTGGAGACTCCAGGGCTGGGCTGTAGGCGTATTGGGCCTCGGCGTGGCTAGTCTGACACACACAGGAGCTGGTGGTACAGAAAAGCCAGGCGCCCGGCCGTTCGTCTTGGACAGTGACAGCAGCCACACCTAGTTTCCAAGGACAGTGGTGGTGGCCTCCCGCGCCAGGGGCAGTGCCCAGGTGGTGCTGCGGTATGAGCTGGGCTCTGGTTACAGCCGCCCGGCTCCCGTGTCCTGCGCGTTTCCTGAGCCTGGTTCTTTGGCTTTTCTGGGGATCCTGAGAAGGGCCCGAGGTCTCTGAGCAAACTCCCTCTCCGTCCCAGTCAGCCAGAGGACTGCTGCTGCTGCTTAAAGCTAGGAATCGCACTTCTGTGGAGCTCTTGCTCTAAAGTTGTCCACGGGTGTTATTCGTTCCCAGGCCCCTGACAGCACTGCTTTCCCACCTGAGCCCCTCTTCGGGGCACGGAATCCGCAAGAATCCAAGTGGGCGGCGGGACCGCAGGCTCAGCCCGGCTCCATTGTCCGCCTGACCCAGACACCACCCTGCCCGCAGCCCGTGGTGCACCCCTCGACTGAGGGTGCCGCGAGGGTGGGACTGACTTCCTCACCTCTTCCTCAGCTCCTCCAGCAGTGCCCGGCACATAGTAGGTGCTCAGGAAGGTCTGGGCAGATGAGTGAACCAGTGTACAGGTGGAGAAGTCCGTGCCACTGGGCTGTCTGTAGGCTGACCGGGCCAGCGATCAGGCTCGGGGCTTGGGCAGGATGGAGACGTGCCTGGAGTCCGCAGGCCGCCCCACAGTAACGATCAGCTGGGGAGGTCGTGACAGACCAGTGAGGAAAGTAGGCGGGGAGAAATGTGCCTCTCTCATCCGAGTGGAGACAGTGTACCTTCCAGCATCTTCCCACGTGCACCAAGGCCATGTGTGAGTGTGCCAGAGACTCGTTCATGGTATGCCGCCGGGCCAGGAGCCCCGGGGTCCATCCAGTTCGCCCTCACCCCCGCTACTCAGAGCGGTGACCTCTGTCGTGTGACCCTTGTTGTTCCTAACCCCTCATCTTCAAATTGCAGGTGTGTTTCCTAGGTTAGCATTTGCCTTGCAGCGTATCATTTCATTTCCTTTTCACTCCATTCGTTTTTAATCACAGTTCTCCCCACAGGAGGTGTGGGCCTTGACCTGCAGAGCGTGGCCCTTCCTTCAAAGCCCTCTCCGGACGCCCTCCTAGCCTCTCCTGGGAAAGATGCGGCAGCTCAAAGGCAAGCCCAAGAAGGAGACGTCCAAGGACAAGAAGGAGCGGAAGCAGGCCATGCAGGAGGCCCGGCAGCAGATCACCACGGTGGTGCTGCCCACGCTGGCCGTGGTCGTGCTTCTGATTGTGGTGTTCGTGTACGTGGCCACGCGCCCCACCGTCACCGAGTGAGCGCTGTGGGCGGCTCCCCAAGCAGGGAGTGCAGGCCTGGGAGGGGGAAAGCAGACAAAACATGGCTTTCGTGTTCAGAGATTTTCCTGATGCTGAGCTCTGAGCAGGAGCACCCTGTCTTCTCTGGTCTTCGACTTGATTAAAGTTTCTCCAATTTCCCTGGGAGGGAATAGGGAACATTTTATCAGTGAACGTGCCATACACCTTATGGTCTACTTCATGTGCCTTTCAGACTTCAAAGTGGGGTGTGTGTGTGTATGTGTGTGTGTGTGTGTGTGTGTGTGTGTGTGTGTGTGTGTGTTTCTCTCCTAAAATCGATAATGTAGCCCACCTGGTGAGAGGAGGAATCTCTGGGTCATGAATCAGTTGGAGTCACTGCTCGCCCACCCCCATTGTTTTGAACATGACTTTTCCTACACGTGTTCACAATTTCCAAAGGGACTGTACTTCTTCTCTGTGCTTAATGTGATTTGAAATATGTCGACTCAAAAGTGAAATATTTATTTTTTTGAATAAAGGAGATAATAGCCTTAAACTGGGTGTTTATCTTGCTTTGCCAGGAGAGGCGGCCTTGCTCTCGGGGAGGTGCAGGGAGGTGCTGTGCGCGTGATTCTCCACTCCACTCGCCTTCCCCCACCCGGCTGCTCTACCTCCCCTTCAGTCCCAGCTTGAATCACTTCCAGTAGCATTTGTGCTTTTTGACTGCCTTGGTTTAAGGTTGGGAGAATCTTGAGAGGCGCAGAAGGGGTGCATTCATTGGTCTGTTTTAGCAAAGAGTTCTAATTGGAATATGACCACAGGTGCTTTTTACACAAGTTAGGACGGCAACCCGAAAGTTGTCCTGGAGGTAAAGGTCAGACTTGGTTCTGTTCCTGCTGAAAGGATGCAAATTGTTTTGTAGTCCAGCTGAGTTTCTGATGCACACTGACCCTGCTAGAAGGTTCTGCACTGTATTCTAAGGGCACTGTTAACCCAGCTCTGGTTCCTGAGGGAGTGACCCCTTTTTGGAAGTCAGATTCATGATGCCTGTTCCGAGGGTATCCATCCTCCTGTTATTGCTGATTACAGAGAGATTTGTGGGGAGAGAAGTGTTTTTCTAATCACCGAGCCTGCATGACTTGCTCCCTGATGGCTCAGGCTGTTACGGGGGACTTGGGGCCTCTTGGAGCGAGTTCCTTGGGAAGAGGAAGCAGCTGTTGTTGAAAGGAAGGACTCCAGCTGATGCCCTGCAATCCTGGTACTCAGAGCTGTGGGGCCGCCCTGTGAAAACTGGTCTCCGAGGGAGACGCCGTGCGGCCTTAGGCACACTCAAGTGCCCGTGGCCCCGGAAAGAGATGTACTAAAATATTTATTAAATGCAGAGGCTGCTAGCATAACCTAAAGTTTGTCTTAGGTTTCTATTTTTCTCTCCCTTGTTTTGTTCTCTTTTATGAGACTCAGTGCTTGGGTCTGGGACTGAAGGCCGCTGCCTCAGGGACCTGCTCACTCAGGGGCACAGAGAGAAGGAGGCATCTGTGCTCTTCACAGTAGCCACAGGGCCACTGAGATGCGGAGCGCCTCACCCTCCTGCCCCAAGAGTGCAGGGACAGCCTATCCAGTGCACTAGAAAGAGCCCGGGCTGCATGTCACAAGACTGCCTGGCTGTGTCTCGTCCCCAGCTACGCTAGGCACAGTGGAAACCCCCTGAGCCTCAGTGTCCCTGTCTGTAAATAACTGGTCACGTCCCTTCTAGGGAAGTGGGCCGTCAAGGAGAAAACCAGGCTTACGGAGCAAATCCGAGTTTTTATGCAGGTTTTGTTGCTGGAATGCGCGAGTCCACTTCCTCATGTGAAAATGGAAGTGACCTTGCCTCAGTGTTGAGGGGAGGAATCAGTTGAAATAGTAAATTTGTAAACCTGTGTTTGGCGCCTGGGACGTTGTGGTTACTCTGCACTTTCCATGGCTTAACTCATGCATTTTTCATATGGCCCTATGAGGTAGGGACTATTAGTACTTAGTTTTACAGATAAGTAAACTGAGGCAGGCCAAAAAACTTTTGTTTTTCTTACAACAAGTAAGCAGTGAAGGAGTTCAGGTTTATTTTTATGCTTTTGTTATGGGAAATTTCAAACCTCTACAGAAATAGAATAATACAATGTATCTCATGTCGTCATTGACTAGTTTCAGCAGAGCCAGCGCCGGGCCACTCCTGCTCGTCTGTCTCTGCAGCCCCCACACCCAGGGACCTTCACGTGCACACCCATGTTGGGTTGTTTTGCAGCATGAGATTAAGGCCCAGACCGTCTGGCCCCAGCATCCGCATTCTTCATCATGAAGATCTGTTACCTCTTAGTAAATACTAATGTCCTTCTCTCCACTCTCCCAGTCTCAGGAAACCTTTTCCTACCCACGTATGTGTGAACAGCCCTTACTGGTAACAGTAGACACAAATGGCTTTTGATGCCATCTTTATTTTTTTTTTAATTTTTTTTTTTTTTTTACAAATAGTTTATTGTCAAATTAGTTTCCACATAACACTCAGTGCTCATCCCCACAAGTGTCCTCCTCCATGCCCATCCCCCCCCCACATCCATCAGTCCTCAGTTTTTGTCAGCATTCAAGAGTCTCTCATGGTTTGCCTCTCTCCCTTTCCCCCACCATTTCCCCCCTTCTTCCCCTTGTTCCTCAGTTAAGTTCCTCCTAATCCTCCTATACGTGCAAACATATATTTGTCCTTCTCTGCCTGACTTATTTCACTCAGCGTAACACCCTCAAGGTCCATCCATGTTGCTACACATGGCCAGATTTCATTGTTTCTCATTGCCATGTAGTATTCCATGGTATAGATAAACCACATCTTCTTGATCCATTTGTCGGTTGATGGACACTTCGGCTCTTTCCATGTTTTAGCTATTGTGGAGAGTGCTGCTATGAACATTGGGGTGCATGTGCTCCTATGCATCAGCATTTCTGTATCCCTTGGGTCAATTCCTAGCAGTGCTATTGCTGGGTCATAGGGGAGTTCTATTGTTAGTTTCCCGAGGAATCTCCACACTGTTTTCCAGAGGGGCTGTACCAGTTTACATTCCCACCAACAGTGTAGGAGGGTGCCCGTTTCTCCACATCCTCGCCAGCATCTAGAGTCCTCTGATTTGCTCATTTTAGCCACTCTGACTTTGACGCCATCTTTAGATAGACAGGCTGGGAGTTCAGTTCTGTCTGCTGGGTACCTGACAGCCCGCTTGATCTCATCTGTTGCTCTCTGAGAGGAACCTCAACCCCGTAGCAATCAAGGAGGAATAGCTGTTCCCTGGGTTCCTTATTAAAACATTTGGCCTTGTCACTTAGGACACTTTGGATATGGCGTGAGGGAAGCATGCATTCTGGGAACTCGTAACTCATCCACTTTCTGGCCAGATGACCTCAGTCAGGTCCCACATCTATCAAGTAAGATCCATTTTACCATGTAGAGGCTGCCAGGAAGATAAATAGGAAAAGGGCACGACCCTGAGGCTAGTACATTGTAGACGCTTGGTAAGTGGCCATCCCGTTCCTCCTTGTCAAGCCACACAGAACACGCATCGAAGTCTGCCTCCCACGGCTTTACTTGCCAGGCCGACACAACACCACACCATACACTGTGTTTATAGATCCTTTAGGTGCTTCTGGCTCTTACTCTCACTCACCCTTTTCCTCTTGGTTGTCCGTCAGGAGGCCTAGTGGATTGGGTCTGAATTTTCAAGAGAAGGTAATTACCAGACAGTCTTGGCGAAAGTGGGCTGCAAATGGACTTTTAAAAGTTAACAACTTTGAAGTGAACCACCTCATGGCAGGGAGGAGATGCCAATTTACCACGGGTAGAATTTGACAATTCCTGGGGTAAATAGGACTCCCGTGTGGGTGTCCCGGTAATGATTTGAGATGCCAGCTTTCACATTACTCCAAGTTATTCAGTGGCTTCAAGGCAAAACTGAATGATTTATTAGGAGTTTTACAGAAAGTCATGCTGGGGTTCTGCAATAGGATCTGGGCTCTGGGCTTTCGGAGTCCTCATTACCCAGCCTCACATTTCTTAAAGAGCAGATTCCGAGAGGAGGAATCGGCTTAGAAACAGAAATAGAAACCATTGTCGTTGGTTTAAAAGGTGCCACTTGATGTGTTTCAGAAAACCATGATGCCAAGATGTATTTGTGTTTCTGCTGGTTCTGAAGCTACCAGCTTTAATTCCTTGCCTGTCAGTTCGAAACTGAGCAGGCCACGCCCACCTCTCCCTCATGCATCCTTCTCGAGGAACCAGGAAGGAGCTCTGCAGTCCTTGGAAAGTAAATTGGAGATGGGAACACCCGCCTCAGGGCTGTTAGGATGACTGAAGGGATGGCTGTCCTTCCCCTTTCCCCCAAAGGGTCTAACATCATTATTTACCCATTAGAGGTGGAAAAAGAAGGAAATCTCTTGAAACTGTGGCTCTTAGCTTTCTTTTTGGAAGTGTGCCATCGTGTGTGTGTGTGTGTGTGTGTGTGTGTGTGTGTGTGTTCCTTTATAACGCTGTATTGAAAATGTCCCCCATGATCTGTCTACTTGAAGCTGACTGCCTTACTTCAGATGCAATGTTTTCCCCCGGGAGCCATCTCTAATTCTGTGTTCTCTACACTATTTGCCACAGACTTGCTTCAGCATTAGAAATGAGGTACAGAATCTTCAGATCAAGGAAATCTAGGAGTAGTTTCCTCTTGACCCATGCAGGATATCTGTACTAGGATTGGGTGAGGGCTTGCACCTCCTTCGGGTCCTAGTGCCTCTCTCCCCCAGGTTTCACAGACCAAGGAAGAGCACCTGTGCATGTAGGCTTTGCCTCACCCACTCCATCAGGCCTAATTTTTCTTACAGGGCTTTGTACAGTTCAGTAGCCAGTCTGTCCTCTTCTCTTCTGAGTATTTTCTCATCACTCTGCAAGGAAAGTGCCTCTGACTTCATTGTATGTCGGTTGGGTCATCCTTGCCTCCCAGTTCTGTGGAAAGGAGCCAGTCTTTTTAAAAAGCATTTCATCCTTTAAGCTGTTGAGTAACAACTTAAGGAAAAGTAGATCAGAGTGAGCATTGAGATGCTCAGTAATGCCACGAGTAAGGAAGGGTCTCTCCCCTCCCCCATTGTCATATGAAGGCTGTCTCTCTTTGAGCCCTCCTAGTTCGAAGGAAACTTTTCTCCACCCTGTGACTATTCCTTTTCCAATTGGAACAAAGCACAGCTGCCCACACGCTGATTGCCTCGGTTCTTTCAGAAAGCATATTAAGCCTTTTGGGATTAGGCCTAACTCACAAGACATAACTCATTTGGACTAGAATAAATGCATAAAGCCCACTGTGGCTCCTTTTTGCAAGCCCTTCTACCCTGAAATACCTTTGCTGCTCACTGCATTACTGGCTCAGTTGAAGGTCCACCCATCTATTGATCCTCCCTGATTCTCCAGAAACCTTGAAGTTCCCTGCCTCACACAGTCGTCCCAGACTGGCCATGGCAGCAATTTATTTAACATGAGCAAAACAATGATAAGATGAA